TTAAGCCGTGAGTAAATTGATAAGTTTCTTTGTAAAGAATCTAGTTTGATACAGTGAAACTTTAAGCTATGAGTAAATAAGCGCCAATTAAAAAATGATAACCCAAAAATTTCTTTGTAAAAAATCTAGTTTGATGCAGTGAAACTTTAAGCCGTGAGTAATTAGCACAAATTACAAAATGATAAACTATTGATGCTGTAAAAATTTAAGCCATCATGAGTAAAAATAAGCACTGATTAACCAAAAGTTTCTTTGTAAAGAATCTAGTATGATGCAGTAAAACTTTATGCCATGAGTAAATAATCGCCAATTAAACAATGATAAACCAGAAATTTCTTTGTAAAAAATCTAGTTTGATGCTGTGAAACTTTAAGCTGTGAGTAAATTAGTAACGAATTAAAAAATAATTAACCAAAAGTTTCTTTGTAAAGAATCTAATTTGAATCCAGTTTGATGCATTAAAACTTTAAGCCATGAGTAAATAAGCGCCAATTAAAAAATGATAAACTAAAAGTTTCTTTATAAAGAATCTAATTTGATGCGGTGAAACTTTAAGCTGTGAGTAAAAATAAGCACATTAAAAATGATAAACTAAAAGTTTCTTTGTAAAGAATCTAGTTTGATGCAGTGAAACTTTAATCTGTGAGTAAATTAGCACTAATAAAAAGATAAACCAGAAATTTCTTTATAAAAAATTTTTGATGCGTAAGTAAATAAACACCAATTAAAAAATGAACTAAAAGTTTCTTTGTAAAGAATCTAGTTTGATGCAGTGAAACCGTGAGTAAAAATAAGCACTATTAAAAAGTGATAAACTAAAAGTTACCCAGTTTGATGCTGTTGAATCTAGTTTGATGCTGTGAAACTTTAAGCCATGAGTAAATTAGCACCAATTAAAAATAATAAACTAGATAAAAAATTTTTGATGCAGTGAAACTTTAAGCCATAAGTAAAGAATCTAGTTTGATGCAGTGAAACTTTAAGTCATAAGTAAATAGGCACCAATTAAAAAATATTAAACTAAAAAGTTTCTTTGTAAATAATTTAATTTGATACAATGAAACGTTAAGCCATGAGTAAATAAATGCCAATTAAAAATGATAAACTAAAGTTTGATGCCATTGAATCTAGTTTGATGCAGTGAAACTTTAAGTCATAAGTAAATAAGCACCAATTAAAAAATGATAAACTAAAAGTTTCTTTATAAAGAATCTAGTTTGATGCTGTGAAACTTTAAGCTGTGAGTATGAAATAACATATGGCATAGCCGTAATTAGCTACCCAAATTGATATGATGTAAGAGGGTAACTACCGTGGCCTGACAAATGTCTGCACCTCTAGTCAAAACTATTAGGTCTATGTGAAACTAATTTCGAATTACCGAATACTTTTTGTATAGTTCAAATATCGTCTGTTTAAAATAATGATAATGATAATAATAACCTTTAACAGAGCAAAATGTAAATAACTCTTTTATTGATTCTTGGTGTACATAATTTTTTTCTTGCTTATAATAAATCTTAATTAATATTATCGTAGTACATAAATAAAATTAAAATCTTAAAAGCTTAAAAAATATCGAATAAAATATCTTCGAGCCATTTTTTAATCCTTAAATGATTAATTATTTCCGTTAAATCTTTTAACACATTTTATTACAAAACTGTCTAAAAAGTTTTTAAATTCTTGTTCTTTAACTTCATATAGATAATTAACCGTTAAACCCAAACCACTAAATTGTTGAAAACAGAATTCTAATGGAATTTTTTTTGCATTTAATGTAGGATTTTCGATTAATAAAACAATTAATTTATAAAATTTTTTCAAACGAGAAAATTCACATAATTTATTTTTTAGATTATTAAAGTTTGGAATTGATTGTTTAATCATATCACTAAGCTTCTTCTTTTTTTCTTTCTCATCACCAATACCCGAAATTTCTTTATACAATGCTTTTGCATGATAAATTCT